ATGCTTTTGCGCCATCCAGACCTGCATAGGTCTGTTACATCCCGTTCGTCCAGAGTCATCAGCACTTGTGTTCATCAAAAGTCGTTGATGTGTTGATACGGCCGAGCTGCCGACCCGAGCCATTTCGATGAGGGACTCCCGGGCCGCGGCCAAGTTGTCAAGTGGCGGCTGAACGAAATGAAGGCACTCAATTCAGCAGTCGGGAATTGATGCTCCGGTCGTTGGCGTGCCCATGCGTCACCACCACACGCCAGCCGCAGGACGTTGTGAGGACATGTCCAAAACCATTTCATCTGCTCAGGTCGACAGCCCTGTCTTTGAACAGCCACGGAGGCCATGCGAGTGCAGGGCGGCCGGAAACCGACGATGGCTGCGATCCAGGAATAGCACCCTTCAAAGACGCGCGTCCCCGCATTCTACGCGGCAGCCGGATCGTCTGGAGGCACGAGAACAGCAGATAATTCTCCGACAGTGAGGAGATTTGCGTTTTGCTCAATGGTCGAGCTGGCCCGTGTCGTAGAAACCCTTTCCAGCCGTCCCAAAGAGCGGTGGTTCTCTTCCCGCATTGGTTCCCGCAGTCAGGGTCTCACGGGTCGCGCGACGCACCATCGTGGGCCACGAGTCGGTGAGTTTTTGACACGAGCGTAGAAGAAGGTTTCCTCGATCACGTTTTGTTCTTTGGAACCACACACAAAACTGCCAGTAGGCATTGACTGTCTCGACGGCGCGTCGAGGCCTCTGTTTTGAGACGGCACGACGCCGTCACAAGCTTCGGAACCCAGTCTCAAGTTTAACCAAGCCATCGGGTATTGTTTCCACCCGCAACAGCTCGGTCCCAGTCAGCCCGTCCCCCGAGTCAGGCCCGGAAGGCGCCCGAATATCAAAAAAGAACAACGCAAATCATGAGACGGACCTCACGCCCAGGACGCCGTCAAAAAGCTGGACGATCAGGGAATCGAACCCTGGACCACTCACATGCTAAGCGAGTATTATACCACTAAACCAATCGCCCATAGGATGATCTAGCCCGGACTTGAACCGGAGACCTTCAGTGTGCCAGGCGAGGGCATTCGGAGAAGCGCTCGACCTGTTAGACTGACGTGATAACCAACTACACCACCAGACCGGTTGTCGTTGAAGGCCTGATGGGCAGGGAACCACTTAGGGCAGCGCATCGCGAGCTACCTAGGCGGTGGGCGGAGCGGATGGGTGGGGTCCAGGGTCCAGGGCTAACGTCGAGATTCCAGATGGCTGGGAGAGAAGACGGCCGAACTCGAGTCTGAAGAGAGGATGCAATCGCAAGTTGAGTTGTCTCTGCTCTTGTGCCATACCTGCAGGAGGCTGGCTCGGCCATGTACACACCTCGACAGCTCGTCGAAGAGGTTGCAAAGACAGTCGTCTTGCACGACTAATGACATGGGCGATGTGGGCAAGAAGTGGAGGGAGGCATTATATCGCTCACTGCGTCAGGCAACTCCCGAAGATCGTGGCGGACATAGCTCAGTTGGGAGAGCGTCAGACTGAAGCGGATCACGATCCGAGAAACTTCATTCAATCAATCTGAAGGTCGTGTGTTCAATCCACACTGGCCGCATCTTCATCTTTTGCCAAACGCGCATTCTCTTTTGGAGCATTCGTTGTGGGGCCAAGACGTTTTTGTCAAACGCCGTTTCTGGAAACATTTTTCCTCGGCGTGCGTGCGTGCGGCTCAATCACCTGCGGCAACGTCACGGCCGCTGTTTTGATACCGGGCCAGACCGTTCCTGTGGCTGAGCCGCATCGAATAAACAAACCGGCTGGATGGCGACAGACGAGGCGACGCGAGGCTGGTTTATTTTTGTGCTGTGCCGTCATCAACCTGCGTCACCAGCGAATCAATATTGCTCGTCCGGTTACGTAGCCGATACTTGGGATCGGGTTCAGATGCAAAAGTTCAGGTGTGTTCGTTTGGATTTCCATTTGAGGGAAAGGCGCACAATGCCATGTCGAGAAGGCATCCCCCAACGAGTCCGGTCAGTGCCCTCCACAAACATCAGCCCAAGTCGCGTATTGTAGCAGTGAAGCCGCGAGACAATGTCTATCGGAGACTGTTGCGGGCCATCTGACCAAGGCGCAGGACGGACCGACGGCGGCCGAACCGCTTCTTGTTTTCAGATCCAAACCGTTTGCCAGTAACATCGCAGGTCGTTGGTCGGCACTTGAGACTGCGAAAGAAATCCCACGGGGTTTTGTGCACGCACTCCTCCTCGGAGCCGACGACGGCACCGCTCCCGCCTTTGGGGGGCTCAAATGTGTAACTGCAACAAGCTTCTCGCCGGATACCGTCTTGGCGGAGAGAGACCCGCATGGTCATGGGGAGCTGCAGCATAATAGGTGAGCATGTTTTTGGACGCCCATCACTCGACGACGGCCCCGACGATCCTGAAGCGGGGTTCCAGGAGAACCAGAACGACGACCAGATACAGGCCGCCTCCCTGACGTGGACTGCGTGTCGTACGCGCTCAAGGTTGCGGGAGCCAGGTTCCTAGCGTGTAGATTACCGTGCAGATCCATTCGATTCCTCATTGTTTGGAGAAGGAGGGCGGCATGCACACGCGGCCACCAACGCAAACCGCCTGGCCTGAAGTCCGGTAGCAGGTGGGCAGGCAACTGTGCATCGCCATCCCTGCGGCTCGTTGCTGCGGCGGCGGCGGGCAGTTGCTAGAACACATGGATGGAACGAGCCGGCGACGATGACAGGCAAGCAAACAGCTAAGCATTGCGGGTTGTCGTTTAATCCTGCCTTGCGGAGGGTGACCCCTGTGCCTATTCTTGGACATCATCTTGGCAGGCCATGCGTTTCTCTTGGAAGCCGAGGGCAGCGAGGCATTGGATAATGTCGCTCCTGCTGGCGTACTCAGGAGCACGGGGACTTTGAGGTGCAGGTTTGATCAGTCGCAGGGAATGGGGATGACGACGGCGCCCATCCAAGGCCCTCCTAACCCCTCCAGGGCGGACGGAGACAGCGACGCCCATGCCCATGGCGGCCGCAACGACAGCCCAGCGGCAGGTTCCGAGACGCAGGGCTGTTGATATGTCGTGGGATGCTTGATGTCGTTTGTACGGCAGCGAAGGCGTCTGGGGAGCGGCTCAGGCGAAATCCTTGGGCCGCGAGAGATGTCGGACTCTTTTGTTTAGAGTTTAGAACTTGGCTTGCAGCAAGATCTATAGGCTGGTTCATTATCGAGTGTGCGAATCTCGGGTTTGCCAGAGACGTTGCGTTGCATTGGTGGGAGGGGGGATCAGAAGGAACAGGACCAGGGCAGATCCGAGGGAAAGGAGGTCCGCGCAAGCGTCGAAGAAGCTTACTGTGAAGCGTATAGTTGGTTCCTAGGAGTCGTGGGCGGCGCTTCGAGAAGGTGGGTTGAGGTCAGAAGATGGTCGGAGATGGGATGAATGTGGAGGAGTTGCGCTACACTAACAATTTCTGGCGCGTCTCGGCCAGTAAGCGAGCCGAGAAAGCCCCTGTCGGGCCAGCATCCGTGCCAGAAGGGGCAGGTGGGGAAGGTACACTAAGGTATCCCATTGGCCGCGATGAGGCTGAAGGATACTTGGGGGTAGGTACTGTAGGGGCTCTCTCTCGCCCCTGGGATAGGGATTACCTAAGACGCCTGTCTGAGACGTCGGTACCTCGCATTTTGGTTACAGAATACCTTATCTTGATCTTTATCTTATCCGATCACTTACTCCATCTACCTTGCTTGACGGAGGAGACCAACAACGGCTGGCACAAAGACCCTATGCGGATGATTCTACTGCGCCTGATTGCCACAGCGCAATGACGGCTAATCAAAACATCCGCATCAACAGCAGCAACATGAACATGTCTGGGGCTCTTTTTCTCTTTCGAGGCACGGGGTGGGCAGCAAGCTAAAAATCCGGAGGTGGCTGCTCCCGAACGACTCCTGTTGACCATCCATGTTTCAGATGCGCCTGGCAAGTCCGCGAAACCGCCAGAGACGCCCAAGGAAGCAGAAGTCGATCACGTCCCAGTCGGTCCAAACTCCCAAACCCTCCAGATTTCACCCAGCGTGCCCGGCCCAGGCGCAAGGTCAAGCTTAGCGGTCCCTGCCTTTGTCCTGGGTCCTCCAGGTCACAGGTCGCCAGGCCGCCGCCCCGATGGATACCGATGGGAGGAGGTCGGGAATGGCTTGCGTAGCGTCCTGCGCTGCTGTCGGGAAGGAAGCGGGAAGGCCTGCTTTGCGTTGCATGTCGTCTGTGTTTCTGGTGTGTGCACTTGCGCGCGCCGCCGTTGCTGCTGATGCAGGGTACACACTGCGATGCAAACAGGCACGCGCAGACAAGCATCGATTTCCGACTTTTATCCTTTTTTACCCCTTCCCTCTTTTTGTCCTTCGTTCGTCTTTTGCTCCTTGGGTTTTACTTTTATCATTGTAGAGTCCCGTCCCTTTGCACCGTCATTCTCGTCTGGGCTTCTGATTTCTCCCTGGACCACGAGTAGCACGACGGACACGGTCAACAACGCTCATCAAACCAAACTCGACGACGACGCTGGACGACGCTTGCGAGACAGATAGAGAAGAAGAGACGGGGACGACGGACGGGCAACGCGGCCACAGGAACTCGGAATCCCGACTTGGACAGCCGTCATTCGTCCTTTTTGACTTTTCCCACTTCCTGGAGCCGCCAACCTTGACGCCATCGCATCGTCGACCCTCCGCAGGGCCTGGCCGGGTACTCTTGGATTCTAATGGCCAATGTCTTGGAGGCATATCTAAGTCGTCGCCATACTTCCCTCTCCGCCCCGGGAAGTCTCCATCAGCAGACGACTCTCATTGCGACCTGATCTCGATCCGAGTTTCGACTTTACCGCCTCGCTGGCGTTGTACCTTTTTTTCTTCTGGTCGTGTTGGCGTGTTGGATTGATACCCTGTTAGATTTGCTTTTGAGGATTGCTTTCTTTCCCTTCATCCAGCATTCCGATGAATCAGTCAACCACAATGTCGTCGATGCCCATGGAGCTCAACCTGCCCCAGGTGGTGCCGGGGGGCAAGCACATCAGCTACTACGTCGCCATCAGCGCGATGCTGGTGGTCGCGTGGCTGCTGCAATCGCGCAAGCAGAAGCTGCCCATGCCGTTCTACAAGGCGGCAAAGACCAAGTGGATGTTTGACGCGGAGACGTTGATTCGCGACAGCTATGGCAAGGTAAGGCTCTTCGATTGCGCTGGCGGTGATCGTGGCTGACTGTGCACTTAGTTCCGCGATACCGTCTACCAGATCAAGGCGACAGAAGGCCTGCAGGTCCTCATCCCCGCGCGACTCATCGGCGAGCTGAGAAGCCTGCCTGAAGAAGTCCTCAGCGCGACGGAGGCCGTTGACGAGGCCATGCTGAGTCGGTACACCAACTTCACGCTGGGCCCCCACGCGGATCTGCTGTCGACTCTGGTCCGATGCAAGCTCTCGCAGAATCTGGCAAGGCTCGTGCCACAGCTCAAGGGCGAGCTCGAGTACGTCGTCGCCACCGAGTTTCCCGACTGCAAGGGTATGTCGTGCTCCAAACCTTGTGTGCCACGGTTCGTGCTAACCAACCTTAGACTGGACGCCGGTTAAGTTCCAGCCCTTTGCGCTGCGAGCCATCGCACGGATCAGCGGCCGGGCGTTTGTGGGATCTGACATCAACCGCCAAGAGAAGTGGATGGACATTAGCATCAACTTTGCCATCCACGTCTTTGTGGCCGTGGTCAAGATGCAGCTCTTCCCGGAGTGGGCGCGGCCCGTCGGGCAGTACATGGTGTCGGAGCTGCGGCAGATCACCAAGGACATCGACCTCGCGAGCAACATGCTGAAGCCCGTCATCGAGGAGCGGCTGCGGGATCTGGAGATGCCCAGCTGTGAGCAGACCCCCGACGACTTGATCCAGTGGCTCGTAGAATCGCTGCCTGCAGAGGAGAAGACGGATATCAGGTCCCAGGCGCACCTGCAGCTCATCCTCGCGGCGGCGTCGATCCACACGACAAACAATCTCGTCACCGACTGCATCTACGACCTCGCAGCCAACCCCGATGCGCAAGAGATGCTTCGTGAGGAGGCGCGGCAGGTGCTGGAGGTCGAGCACGGGTGGGCGAGGAAAGAAAGCATGGCCAAGCTGAAGAAGCTGGACAGCTTTATGAAGGAGACCCAGCGCCTCGCCGGCAACATCAGTGAGTGGCAGTTTTGTTGTTATTGGTGCACCAGACTAACATGTCGCAGCCTCCTTCATCCGCAAGGTCATCAAGCCGATCGACCTGTCCGACGGCACCCACCTGCCCTCGGGCACCAAGCTGCTGGCACCGCAGGCCGGCATCTCGCACGATGAGCGATACTTTGAGAACCCAGACACGTTCGACGCGCTGCGCTTCTACAAACTACGACAGAAGTCCGACGAGGACGCAAACAGGTGGCAGTTCACCAGCATCAGCGATACCAACATGAACTTTGGCGCCGGCAAGCACGCATGTCCGGGCCGCTTCTTCGCAGGGAACGAGATCAAGATGATCCTGGCGTATTTCCTGCTCAACTACGACATCAAGCTCAAGGACGGCGAGACGAGGCCGAAGCCCATGGTCATGGTAATGAGCAAGTCGCCGGATCCCAACGCGGAGATTCTGTTTAGGCGACGGACGGTGGCGTAAGGGGGGACGAACAACAAAGGATAAACCAATCTCCACGGAGGAGACGGTAATTAAAAAAAATTACACATACGAACCATGGACAGTATTCCGTGCACACAGACACAAACACACATCTTTCCGGCGTCGGGGCCTGGAGCTCCTGGGTCTTGGATAGGCTAATTGGAGGCTACTACCCATGGAGGAGATACCACTGTATATTAACCACAACACACATACCATATCTAGTCACGCCAAAAAGGCGACATTAGAGGCGCGAGCGGTTGTTTAGTGCGCGTTGGCCTACGGGCGAATACATGAGTTGCATTTCATCGCGGCAATGTGGTGCAGACGGGAGGATGTCTCGCGGTGGACCATAAGCCGTGATTTCCGCGGCTCAGTCACCAAGCCTTGTTGGCTAAGTGGTATAGCGCCTCACTAGTAATGAGGAGATCGGGTGTTCGATTCACCCACGAGGCAACAGCCTGGAGCATCTCCAACCGGCCGACGATTTCTTTTTGCGAACATACGATGCATTCTTTTTGGTGTTCTCATCTAACGAGAACCAAAGCTTGTTTCATTTTGACTCCCTGAGCTAAAAACTGCCTTTTAGAGTTAAGCAAGCCGCTGCCGCGCGTTTCCCCACCTCTCTCGCACGTTTCAAAAAGCTTCACAGCAATCGCGTCTTGCTTCAAACCACACGCTCACCGCCCCAAGCCAAGCCAGTCCCGGCTAGGTTGCCGTACAACTTGCGGCAGGCTGTGCAATACCGACTCTCTTAAGGAAAAGCGCTTTGCTTGCAGCGCGAGCAAGCTAGCTGACCCGCTTGATCGGTTCGTAGGGCTGGGGCGAGCGATACAAGACATTCTAGCTTGCCGGGGGCCCCCGTCTGCATCGTGAACATGCCTCTTTCCCTGATCCTGGGTGCGACTGCCTCGACGAGAACCAACTTGTTGGCCGCAACGAAGGGATACGATTGCGCTCAATTCAAGCAAAACAGCTGGGCCTCTTTCTCAACTCGCGGAGGGGAAAGCTGTCCTTCACAAAATCAGGCTGAGCATCACCAACAAACATCTGAACACACACATCATGACAACATATCTCACCCCCCCATCCTCGATGCAGCGCAACCACGGCGCGAGCCTGCCTATCCGTCGGTCCTTGCCGACGGCACAGATGACTCCCAACGTGGCACCACCGCCGGCGCCCTCCCGCCCGTCGTCGACGCAAACGATCTCACATCGGAATTCCGACGGCAGGTTTTGACTGCTATGGAATTGTACATGCTGCTCTTTTCAGCCCTATGGCCTTTTGATTCGCCAGATCCCACAAGGCAACCGTCGGCGGCACCTCCGTCAGCCGCCGCCGCTTCTGAAATTCCAAAGAAAGACACCACTGTTTACAGCGTCTGGTTGGCCAAGTTCCGCGACGTGGTTGTTGTGTGGCGCTGGCCCATCAATCGTTTCGCCATGGTTGCAACCCGCTTCTCTGGCTGGGGAAGACCACCGCGCTATTCGCCAACATAGAGAAACACCAACGAAAGGAGGAAAAAGAAAAAAAAAAGCGAAACCAAATTGCAACCCCGCGCGAGCATGCATACAATTCCCAAATCCCCATGCAGCCGAGCGGGACCTTGTGCGCGTCTGAAATCACATGCTGCGCTCCTCACCCTTTACAGACGCAGGTGCATTAGCCTCGAAGCCGATAGCGAACTTGTACCCGATACCTGTCACTGCTGCCAGCACCTCTGCTCGGCCGTTCTCGCGAGTCGCCATGGCTCGTCCCGAGCAAGTGTGGGGATTCTTTTTAGGATCCCGCGCCGCGCTAGGCGGGTGGTGTTGAGTGCTAGAACACGAGCCGAAACGGCTTCTAGCGGCATGGTGCTAATTAGCACGACGTTTCCCGTGAACCGGTGGGCACGCATTGTGAACAGTCCCCATGTAGTTCATAATATCAACACAAAAATGCAAGCCATTCCTGCGACGCGACGGAATCCTCTACCACGTAACCAGTCTGAAAGGGGGTATCAAAAAGCCGCCTGATGGTTGAAAAGGACATGAAAACCAGATGCGTCCAACCCGAACAATTCTACCGATGCCGTTCTGTGTCCGCCATCGTGCTGAGACACACGCTTGCCAATAAACCAAAGTAAACCTAATCGCTCGCTAACAAAGTAATTTCAATAGACTTCCATCTGTCGGCCCCGCGTGTCTGACAACACCTCTTCCTCCTCCTGTTGGGTCGGCGTCTGCGAGGTTGACGATGCCGGGGGGCTTTCGACGACTTCTGCGGACACGTCGCGAGTGAGGCCCTGCGCGGGAGATGCCATGCCACTGCCGGTGAGCGGCCCGATAAAGTCGTCGCGAGACTTGACAGCGCCGTCCCGCCACCAGTGGAAGAGGACGTCCTGCTGCCATCGGTGTCGGTTCTCGATCCGCAGCCGGTGCTCGTGCACAAACGTCGTGTACAGGAACTCAACGGCAAGGGGCGACGTTCTCAGCTGATCCAGAAGCCACCGGGTGACAAAATCCGCCTTGTCGTCTCCCTTGAACTCGCTCATGAGCCTGGAAATGGCATACTCCTTTTGGGCCGCGTGCAACTGCCGCTTCTTGGTCGGGTCGTTCGCCGGAAGCCTCACGGCCCGCCTCAGGTTGCCGAGAGCCGTGAGAGGTTCCGGGCGGAGCAGGTAGTCCGGGCAGGACAGGAGCTCCGGGAACCGCGGGTGTGCGACGCTCCCCGTCTTGGTTCCCAGGTCGTCGAGGGACATGTCTTCGCCAATGTCAGGGTCGAGGGCGTACGCTATCCGGAAAGAGGGATGCTTCTTCATCGCGCCGTTCTCCTCGCAGATTTGCTTCAGTCGTTTCACCTCCTCCGCCAGGCGGTCGACATTCTCTCGTTTCTCGCGTTCTTCGCTGGGGTAGCCGTCAATGAACTCAATCTCGTCCGCGTTCGGCCGTTTGCCCGCAGTTTTCTTGACCTCAATGCCGTACGCGTACTGGTCGTGGATGAGAATCAGGTCGCCGTACTCGTCTTTGGCGTTTTCCAGATCTCCGATGGCGGATACGAGGTCCTGCCACAGCGGGTGAGCCTCCTCTGTGGGCCCATGGCGGGATATGCCCATCAAGTCGTACGGCATGCTCGACTGCTCCGCGAGCTCGTCGTCGTCTGAATCCTCCATTTCGAATTCCTGCCCCGCGCTCGTGCTGCCGGCGGCCAAGATGCTGAAGAAGCGTGTCTCAATGTTGATGAGATCTTCCTCCTGCTCGTCCAGACTGACCTCGAGATTTTCGTAGTCCGACTCGAAGAAATGGTAGTCGGTGCGCAGTTTCTGCATGTCGGCGAATCTCTTGTCCAGGGTGTCGTCCAACGTGCCCAGCGTGCTCCGCCGACCCCTGATGAGGATGGGGCGCAGCATGTTCATGAACGCGTTGTCGGCTTCGTCTTTCCTCCGACGCAGCTCGCGGAGATGTCTGCGCCTGCTAGCCATCTCCTGCTTGATGCCGTAGACTCTCTGGCGACGCTCCTTCATGAGAACCCACAGATGCTGCACGCCGTCATCCCCTGACGAGATGGTCGATGCTACAGACGATGCGTCCGACTCCAAGCTGGGAACGGGGCTGCGAGAGTGCGCGAGGCGCGAGACCTTGTTCGTGATGACGTCTGTGATTTTCCTCCGGTCCCTCTCCACGGCCTTGCGTGACTGGACGGTGGGCATGAGAGGAGGAAAGGCCGTCCGGTTCTGCTGATCAAAGTAGTCGTCAGACTCGTCGGAGCTGGCCCCAGAGTCCGAGGTGATGGGCTGCTGCCATATTTCTGTAGACAGCAACAGGGGCGGCGATGATGGCATGGTGCCGGCCAGGGGTTTCTTTCGCCGTGCCATGGGCGGCGGAGGCGGCGGCGGCGGCGGTGGTGGACGGGGATGTGTGATGCTTGCTGGCCGGCTCCCAGGGGGCGGTGGTGGTGGAGGCGGAGGAGGTTTTGGCATGTTGGAATTTGGACCGGCGTCGCGAGGCGGAGGACGCGGGCCGGGCGCTCTGAACCGGCCGTCATCGCGGCGGTGAGAGGAGACAAGACCAGATCGCGCCGGCGGAGTGAGCGAGTGTTCCACGATGCTGTCCGATTGCAGAGACGGACGTGATGGTGGTGGCGATGGCGGGCTCAGGTCGAGCGCGGCGACACCTCTCGTGGGTGTCGTGTCAGATGACCTGTCATTCTCGCCGGATGGGCCATGCCCCGACGGGCTCGATGGTAAGGACTGACGGTCGGGGGAGTCTGCGGCAGCCATGAGGACGGGCTAAGGTGCGTACTGATCGTGATATTGTTCCATTATCTGCCATCGCCTTGGGACACCGCAGCGACGACGAGTGTGACGGAGGTCCGGGGCGACGATATCTCCAGGAGCTGGAAAGGATCAGTCGACGACGCGTGGGTTTGTGCCCTTGACTGAAAAAGTGAAGCGAGCGAGCCAGCGAGAGCGGCTCTGTTCGTTTGCAGGAGCTTTCGTTCCCCCGGCAGGACGCGCTGCACAGCTGCTGCTACTCGCACTGCGAATGCTTTCCTCCCTGCGGACGTGCGGCAGGCTGGCTGGCTAATTTGAGATGCATGCCGCGGGAACACAACGTGTGCAATCCGGGATGGCCGCTGACCGAGCATCAGACAACCCAGCAACGCTGGGCTGGTAAAGACTGGACAACAGCACCTGGCACCGTACCCGGGACACCACACATTCTCGGTAGACGGATCCACCTGCCTCGCGGGCACTAGCCGTCTCTCCCCCTGGCGATAGGTGTGTCAGTAGCTCTGCTAATGGAGTCGCTTGCTGCCGTGGGGGGGTCCCGTCCCAGTCTCGGCGGTCCACCGGCTGGTGGACACAGGTGACAGTGGACGTGAAGAGTCACTAGCAGCGCGGGGTTTATCGACATCAACCCGCCTCGCTACCGGTGGGAGTGGGCCACACCACTTCCACTTCTGCACCAGCAATAAACGCACCCGCACGAGAACCACAGCCTGCTTTCTGTCGTCTGCATTTTGCCATTTCCTCCTCTGCAAGTACCTGGTACCCAAATTACATCTCGCGCTGCTTACAACCTGCCAGTGGCCCTGCCCGCCTTCGGGCCTTCATACAGAGGGAATGCGCAGGCCCCAGTCGTCCGCACGACACAGCGCCAGGGGTGTTACTCTAGTCTCTCCTCCGTCTGTCTCCTCTCCTACCAGTCCCTTATGAGACCACCTCATGGCGACAAGAGCTGGCGTCTATTCCGCTACGTGCTGCTCCACGTCGAGTGGGAAAGCGGATAGCGGGATGGAGAGCCATGCTCTTATCAAGGGTTAGAGCCGGAAAGATATGGCAGACGTGCCGTTCCACACCCTCTCTCTCGTTGTTCCGTTCTGTTCTCCTCCGTCCGTCTTCCATCTCTCTTTCTCTTCTGACTCAAGCTTGGGATCACCAACCCTCCGGCTTGGGACTGACGACCAAGGAGTGCTATGCAAGGCAACGCAATGCAGGACTTTTGCTGCTGAGATCCTATCCCGCCACCACCCCCTTCTCTCTCGCCAGTCTTCGCCAGTCACAGCTCTCCGGATACGTCACGCGTTCCTGCGCAGCTGCTGCCACCAATTAAGCCCGCGGCCTGCTGCATTTATCCTCCATACGGCCCCGACGTCTCAGGCCCGACTTGCCTATCGACGTCTGATTGTCTCTTCTCTCTGCATTGCGGCTCAACTGGCCCTTTCATCAGGACCCGTTTCCTCCCCCGAGTCCCGAACCCGACTTGCTGTGGACCCTTTCCCCCCTTCCCCCCCCCCCCCCCCCCGGATCGGCACTTTTCACTAGCGGGACACACATAAAGTGTAGACCCGCGATGCCACTATGCCGAAGCATAGCTCCTCCAGTAAACACAAGTCGAAGCACGATGGCGGCGGTGGTAGCCCCTGGAGTGACTGGGTGTGGTCGGCCGAGTATTCAAAGTACTACTGCTACCGCATGAAGCGGAATGGTGAGTGGGAACTCTGGTGTTGGAGCAAAATCTGACAGTCACAGGTGAGACCGAGTACAAGTGGGACGAGGGGACGTCGAGTGCCCAGCCTCAGGACGAGGCCGCACCTCGCCAGCAGGCCGAGATAGACATACAGCATGGGCTGGACGACTTGTCCTTGTCAGACACTCCCGACAGCGGTTATGGCTATGCGTACGGGTCACAGGCTGGGAGTAGTCATGGTGAGTCTGCTGGCCGCGTGTTGCTACCCGGCTAACGCAACGCAGATATGACGAAGAGGAGCAAACGCTCAAAAGACCAGCCGACTGAGTATGCCGAAGCCGAGCCCGACCCTTCAGGCGATCCACCCCCAACTCCCGATGAGGTTCCGCCTCTAGACCCTTTCTTCGGCGCGCAACAGGAGACCACACAATCAGTCTACGAAGCAGAGTCAGAGCGTAAGAGAACCATTGAGATTGAAGCGCAAACGCTAAGCCCGTACAGCACTTGCTACTGATACAAACACGGCATACTCGACAGACTATGCGCAAACCGATGCCTACCAGGGTATGCCCACTGCATCCGCATCGCAAGCCGTGCTGACAATCCCAGGCGATCCCCAACAGGACTTTGCACCGGAGGAGATTGAGGCTATGCGAGCGAGCGACTCCCACAACTTCGGCTACGCGAATGAAGGTGAATCGTCTACCGATTCGGGATACGGTATGGCAACGCCCTCGATTTGGTAGCTGTGGCTGACACGAACAGGGGCCTACTCGCCGGAGGAGGACGACGATGGTACGGTCACGCCAAAAGCGTTGGGGGGGCCTGTCGGTGCCCAAGAGCTCGCCGCCTATGGCGAGAGATTGGATCCTCGTACGTGCCTATAGTCGTGACCCGTAGTTCGCACTAACAATCAACAGGCTACAGAGTCGAACCGTCGAGCAAGTTTAAGCCTGGAGCAGTGAGTAGTCCGATTTCCCCGTGCTTCTCGCGCTGACATGGTAGATCTTCAAAATCGTGTGGTCCGAACCTCGAGGTAGCACAGCGCAAGCGGCACCGACCATGTCGGACAAGCAGTCAATGAAGGATCCGTGGGGCGGCCACTTCCACGTCGGACCTCGACGGTTCATCGTGGTTGCAACCGACGAGGGTCACTCGACCTGCGTGTGAGCAGACCTGTTTCCACACCATGACATTCACTGACAAGCCAGGCCGATTCTCACGTACGGAGGCAGAGGCTGCAGAAAGAGCGGCGTAAAGCCCCTCAAACACGGCGTCATCCACGAGCGGAACCGCAGCGCCTACAAGCTTCCGAGAGAACCGGAACTCGGATTCCCCCCCGTGAAAGCCAGGCTCAACATTGAGGGCGAGCGGCTTTCGAAAGAGTCGCGCGTCAACTACGCAAAACTCACCACGATTGAACACAACATCAAGGTTTTCTTCATCGGCAGCATCGTAAAGGATGAAATCCCCACAATCAGGGCGAATGTCGACTACTGCTGGGAGCAAAAGTTGTAAGGGATCTCAGTGATCCTGGGAACGACGGAACCCGACGTTTCAGCCGCCACAGCTATAAGCGATTGTGGCAGTATATTACGTTGTCGTCGAGGGGCAATCGCCCTCGACGACTTGAGTCTTCTGAAGGCTATTCTACGTTGCATCTCATGTTGCATCTTACGGATGACGATTTATGACATTCATGGATTTATTCGCCGCGATTTCGACGGCATCACAAAACAGCACCAGCACCGGCATGGAGACAGACCATGGGAGACTGTGTCCGGATCTCTTTTACATTTACGTATCGCATCTAGTATCAAATTGCCAATATCAATGACGAATATCGCTGCGCCTCAATACCCTTGTCATCGGTGCCTTACAGCAAACTGCTGAAATTCTGCACATTGAAAAGCCAAAATGCCAATTACAAAAGCTTCACCCCACGTTCAGGTGTGGGTCGGTGAATCCGGGGCTAGCTCAGAGCTCAAGCCGAGGCTCGGTAACCCGCCCCCGCAAACGTCACCGACCGGGGGGTCCGCGCGTTGCAGCTCCGGGTTATTAATCCCGACCTCCCCTTTCAATTTCGCTTTGCTGTCGTTGTTCATTCAAACGCAAAAATGGCCGAATCTCAATTGGAAGATTTCCCGTCCCTCTTCTCGCTCAAGGGCAAGGTCGCCGTCGTGACGGGCGGTTCCCGCGGCCTCGGCCTGCACGCCGCTTCAGCGTACGTCTAGCTCCCAGCGCCGATTGACTCTGCTAACAAACACAGCTTCCTGCAGGCTGGAGCTTCCAAGGTCTTCATCTCCTCCCGCAAGGCCGACGCGTGCGAGGAGGCCTGCAAGGCCCTCAACGCCCTCCCGAACCGCAGCCCCGGCGCCGTCGCCATTCCTGTCCCCGCCGACGCGGCCTCGATCAAGGGCGTCGAGCACCTCCTCGCCGAGGTCAAGAAGCACACCGACAAGGTCGACATTCTGTTTGCTAATGCGGGCGCCACCTGGGGACAGGCGTTCGACTCGCACCCCGACGACGCGTTCGCCAAGGTCATGGACCTCAACGTCAAGGGCGTCTTCAACACCATCCGCCTCTTCGCCCCGCTGCTCGAGAAGGCGGGCAACACGAGCGACCCGGCGCGCGTCATCATCACGGCCTCGGTCGCCGGCCTCGGCATCGGCACGCTCGGCAAGCAGGGCACGTACGGATACAGCGCGAGCAAGGCGGCGGTCATCCACCTCGGCAGGAACCTGGCCCTGGAGCTGGCGCCGCGACACATCACCGTCAACTCCATCGCACCCGGCTTCTTCCCCAGCAAGATGTCAAACGGCCTGCTGAAGATTGCCGGCGGCGCCGACAAGATCGGCAAGGGCAACCCCATGGGACGGCTCGGCAAGCCGGAGGACATTGCAGGCGCCGTGGTCTACCTCGCCAGCCGCGCCGGGTCCCACGTGAACGGCGAGGTCATCGCGATTGACGGAGGGTCGCTGTGGCAGCGTGGGGAGCTGAACGTGTCCAAATTGTAGAACAGTAACAATGTGTATTACCATGCCCGTCTATGATGCTATTCGCTGTGACAGAAGATGCTACCGCGGCTTGCGGGCCACCCAGAAACTCGCCCGGTACGTCGTCGACAACATGCTCTCGCGGTCGTGGATGTAGGGCGCCTCGATGCCCGTCTCGCGGCGCTCGACGACGAACCCGACCCTTTCCACCAGCGCCATGACCTCGTCGTCGCTCAGCTCGAAGCTGCCGGGGTCGGCAATGCCCGACGAGTTGTTGTAGTCGTGCTCCCCGTCGCCGTCCGTGTCTTTGCCGTGGTTCCCGGGAGCGTTGTTCTCAAAGTGCCACAGCAGGGGCCCAAAGTTGATGAGCACGCCCCCGGGCCGCAGGCAGTGATGGATGGTCTCGAGGTAGCGTATCAGATTCGGCGCGGTGTCGAGGAAGAAGACTGTCGCCACCGCGTCGTAGGCGCCGGCGTGCTCGGCGTCGGCGTACAGGCAGAGAAAGTCGGCCGCGCACATGCTCATGGAACCGACCGACGGGCCCGCGGCCGCGAGCGCGGAGGCCGGGTGGATATCGGGGATCGCGCAGCTCCTCAGATGGTTCGTCCGCGTGCGGTGGTTGGAGAAGGAGTGCACCCAGGGGTAGACTGTGTGCTGCCCCGGCTCGGTCGTGCAGTTGAGAATGTACGAGGAGGCGAGCAGCTGGTGGTAGGAGATCTCGTTGCCCTCCGCGTCGTGGCCCGCGCGGCACAGCTCGAACACGAGACGGCCCAGGCCTGCGCCCGGGACGAGCACCTTCAGCGGGGCGGCGGCGGCGTCTTGGCGCTCGCGAGCGACGGCGTCCAGCACGGGGCCGTAGCACGCGCGGCGCTCCTCCGCACCGTCGGCCGACCAGTCGCGGAAGAACTGGCGCAGGGTGCTCCGGGCCTTGTCGGTGTCGTTGTGCTTGGCCACGCCCACCCACTCGTCGGGCATCCTGGGCTCGCCGCTGCCAGGGTCTACACCACCGCAGGACCGCAGCCCGTTCTGCGCAATCGCCCTCGCGAGCTCCGCGTTGGTGTCGATGGCCTCATCCGTGCGCTCCAGCGTGTCCAAGAAGTTGAAGGGAGGGGCCGCCAGCATCTGCCAGTGGGCCTGGGGCAGCGCGTAGAACGACTGCCTCCTCAGGTGAGTGACGTTGAAGTGAGCCACCTTGGCATATTGGCTGCGCGTGTCAGTCTGCGGTCACCAAAGAAACACGACCACACTCACAGAAACGAGTCCAGGGCACAAAAGATGACCTTGGTCTCCTCCGGGTCCTCCATGGTGCTCTCCATGCCGTTCCATTGCTCGTCGTCGGCCATTTTGACGCGGGTGGTCGGGTCCTCAACACGCTCGTCAGTTCTGAGTTTTCGGCGGGCGGCCGCGGTGCAAGGAGGGGCAGTCGGGACTGCTGTGGCGGCGACAGGGCGCTCCGCTCCGCCCAAGTCCTGGAGAACAACATACTTTTGGTTTTCTTCGTCGGGCGACCGGGGCTTCCTCCTTGGGGTGAATGGAGGGGCTTATCGCGACATCATGGTATCCGGTGTTTTCACCAGCAGCGACTGCCCCGACAGCGGCGCATCGCACTCACCTGGGGACACGGGGCTAGAACGGCCCTCGCCATTACCAATCGGGTCCCCAAGAAGATCTTTACACTGTGCTCGCACGGTCACAGCGTGACTTCGACCTCACCTCGACATCACCTCCCAGCACACCGGATGAATGACAATTTGTTTGTATACGTCCGACAATACCATGAGTCGTTTATCCGTCAATCTACATGAACGCGTGCTAATCTACATAGTCCCAGTCCTCATTATCAATCCCAACGCCAAGAGTTGCAATGCTCGCCAATCAATTGTCCTCCCACCCAGTCCCCTCAGTGATCACGGTGACGACGGGCGTGTCTCTTCTTCCGTCTCTCGTCTGCGTACTCGCTGCTCACAGCGCTCTGGCTGCTCAGCCCGGGGATGACGTGGTGGTACGACTTGTTGCCGTAGTCGCTCTCGACGGCGCTGGTAATGTCGCTCTCGGTCCAGGCGCCGGGGACGCTGGGCTCCGGCTCCTCCTGGGGCGGCGGCAGAGCGTATCCGCGGGTGGCCTGGTCCTCGGCGATCGTGCTGGCGCGCTGGAAGCTGAAGTCGCGTCTGGAGCTGCCGGCTGAGCGGCCCTTCTCCTGCAGCCTCTTGGCCTCGGCGCGGATGCGCTGGCGCTCACGCTCCTCGTTGCGGTCTGCCGTGCTGTACACCTTGCGGATGCCGCCCTTGGCCGGGGTCGACGTGGGCGTCGTCTCGCGGTTCGACAGCAGGTTGGATGACACGGACGACTCGGTGGGGTTGGTGGAGCCGTCCCACTCGGACGACTCCGACTCCTTGTTCATGCCGCCGACGCGGGCAGGCCTCTCGTGGCGGTACGACCTCAGGTGCTGCTTGGCCTCACGCTCCGCCTCTTCGTCGATGAGGACGCTGGCCTCGTCGTTGTTCCGGCGGGATCGCTTCTCGCTGTGGCGTCCCTCCTTCTTCTCCCTGCGCCGCTTCTCCTTCTTGCGTTCACGCTTCTCGCGGGCGGCGATGTCGCTCGCGCCCGCAGTGATGCCCGACAGCGTGGTGCCCGAGATGCTGGTCTGGTTGTCGTCGTAGTCCTTGTACACGCTGCCGCCCCCGAGCTTTGTCGACTTGGTGGCGTTGGACAGGATGGTGCCGTTGGGTCCCTTGCGGCGCAGGACGGTCGACTTGTAGTCGTCCCAGTCGTCCTCCTTGAAGTAGAAGCCACCGTTCTTGGCCCAGAAAAAGAACCAGATGCCGGTGACGACAAAGGCCGCGCCGATCAGGCCGAACAGCACAAAAATGGCCGTGTTGTTGATGTCGCCGGGGCTTGTGACGCCGCTCTTTGGGTCTTCCTTCGCCGGCGTGCCGTCACGGGCGGCGAGGATGGATCTGGCGACGAGGGGGCCGACGGCCGGGTCGAACCCTCTCGCCGTGATGTCTGCCGTCTGCGGAAGGCTCGAGAGCCCGCCCGAGATGACGGAGCGGGCGTGCTGCGCCAGGCCGTTGACGACGGCCGGAGCCATGGTGTCGATATTCGGTGACGATGGATGGTGCAAAGGTCGGATTCGATATCGGTGAGACAATCTTGTGGTGTTGATGGAATGCTAAGCCCACTCTTCAGATTGAAGGCGAAGGGCAGGAAAATCAGATTGCGGATGGATGGGGAAGAGTGCAGAGAAGAGTTGCCTGGCCACCTGCGTGGTGGATGGTTGTTCCTATAGAAACCAAAAATCATGTGGCTGGGATGCGTACAACTGAGGTGGTTGGTGGGGGGAGTATGCCAACCGGGGTCCAGCACGGGTTTCCCTACTTCCTCTTTTTTGGATTTTGCCAGTGAGTCCCTCTCACTGGGTGCTGACCTGATCTAGCAGGCTTTTTTCCTGCATCCCGCTTCCTCGAGTTGCATCTGCTGCCACCATCCCCCAATGACGTCGCGAGTCAATAGACCCGCGCGTTGCCCAGCAACCGCACCACCCAATCACCACCGTCCACGAACCTTCCATTTCCGTCGTCCCGTCACAGAAACCATCCCAGCAAACGGCAAACGGCGCAACGGGCGGCGGATGCCGCTCCCGCACGGAACTAAACGTTTGAGCCCCGTCCGCGCAGTCAACTCAGACATCGTCGCTTCACACATCGCAGGCCGCCAAAAAGAGACCTACGCCCTATTCCTGTGCCGTTTCAAGTCTGTGTCACGTCCGCCAGCGCCAACTACAGCACGCTGACGGGCTCTGCAAACCCCTGCGGGCAAGCTCGGCCAACACGTTCACCCCTTCTCATCGGACCTGAAAGCCAAAAGAGATGATAGGCGCAAAACTCTGAGGCATCCCGCGAATGCTGCTCGTCGATCGGACTGCCTGGAACGGAAACTGATCGCCCTCCCTCGTGGGATGAAGGGCGTGCGTCTACGACCTGACCGGACTGGCGGGCACATCACGAGACAATTGGACGATCAGAGCGGTTACTGTTCCAACATTTCATTTCAATTGCGGCCTATATGGCTCAGCCATGCTAGGGGTATCTGTCTCGCCGCTCAAAGGGCAAGTCATCCGCAACACCTATCCGTATCCTTTTTTCCCCCAACCGGGCCACCCTTCGCGGGCCGCCACTACAAAATGGTATCCTCCAAATGATCTAGAAGCGAATCCCGATGATGGCCATGACAATTTCCCACATGCCACCCTCCCTAATTGCGCAGGAAGTGCGGACTTCCCGGATTGCCCATACAGGTTGTCTATCAACATGTCCGACTCGTACGCCGTGCTGAAAATGCGACACACTGCTCCGCCCCGACACGCGGTCAAGGCGAGTAGTGTCGCAGGCACGACAGCCATCACCCGGGGGTAGCCAAGGGAGGCCTCTCCTCCGCGTATGCCCAGAAAAGAAGAAAAACATTGACCCATTATCGCGTCCCAGCATACAAATTCCATACGTCCTCGAGGCTCCCTGTCTGAGCCTGCATATACATGATTCGTTCAAATGGTATAAGAAATGCAAATAGAAAGGTGGTAACAATGGGGAGACGAGCGTCAACCTCAATGCAGAGAAGAGAAGCAATCGTATCGATACAATGCAAAACGCTCGCTTCAATGAAATCGTAGGAAACTCCATCGCTTCGTCAACTTCGTCATCATCGTGGCCGCTCAAAAGAAGGGCGGCCTGGCCTGCGGAGCATAGCTGTAGTCGCTGACCTGGCTGCGGTTCCACGAGTCGGCGCGGGCACGGATGGGCAGTGGGCGTGAGTCCCTGCGGCTCGGGCGGTCGTCCGAGTAGACGGTGCTGGCCCGGTCGCTGCCGCCGTTGCGGCTCGGCTGGGTGATGTTGATCTCGCCGCCATCCTGGCACTGGATCTCGGCACCGCCAATCTTGAGAACGGCGCTGCCGGTAACCTTGATGGTGACGTCCTCGCTCTCGATAGCCGAGGACCGCGTGGTCCGCGTCGTGGCGCTCTGTCGGTACTCGCTGTCGTCGCGGCTCTCGCTGCTGCCGCTGGACCGGCTGCTCTTACTCTGCTTGGCCTTGAGGGCAGCGGCGGTCAGAGGCGCCGTGGGGCCGCCGCTGACGCCGTTCTGGTACGCCATGGCAGCGTGCTGGGCCTCGGCCATCTTGTGCTCCGAGTAGCTGCCGACCTTTGGCTCCGGGTAGCTGTCGGCGGCGGCCATGTACGAGTGACGGCGGGTGCGGCCCGCAGGCTCAATGGAGTAGCCCTCACGGCTGTATGCGCTGGAGCGCCGACGATGGGCGCGAGGGCGGTCCACGACACCGTCGTCGTATTCGTAGTGCACGACCTGCCGGTAAAGAGAATCTTCGTCGTCAAAGGCGTCAGAGTCGTAGCTAGTGTGTGCAATCTGGCGTGGGGGCGGCATCTTGGGGGCCGGCTTCTGGCGGGGTGGACCCTTGACAGCCTGCCGGGTCGGCTGGCTTGTCTTTGGGCGCGGCGGCGGCGGCATGAGCTGTCGGGGGTCGTCTCTGGGCTGCCGGGGATCGCCCTCGGCCGGGCGGATCTTGACCGACCGCCGCCTGGGCATCTGCTCCTTCTCGTACGGGTCATGTTCGTACGAGTCCGAGATGGAGCGATGGCCCATGGCGGACGAGGGTCTCTGGAAGCGCTGGGCGAGGTGGGTCTGTCCGGGTGCCGGCTGGGGAGGCCCTGTATGATGAGGGGGTGGTGCATGGTGAGGCGGTGGGAAGTAGTCGCTTGCCGAAGACGGCGGCGCGGGGTACGGCATGCCGCCAGGCTGGGCCCATTCCTGCGGATGAGCATAGGGCATGCCCGGTGTGAAGGGGGACTGCTGGGGCATCGGCGGCAGCGGCTGCATCGGCGATGGGGCCATCGGAGAGGGGGCGTACGGCGACGGGGCGTTCTGAGCATACCAGCGCTCATTCGCCGGGGGCGGCCGGGTGCCTTGTCCGTAGTAGCTGTTGGGTCGGTTCGACATGCCTCTCGGGCGGTGTCCCTGTGCCGGCTGGATGCCATACTGCGAGGAGTCGTCTTCGAAGCGCGGCCTCCGGTACTCGTCAGGCTGTTGCGTGTGGACGACCGGGGCCGTCTTGACGCTCTTCACCGGGGGCCGGACGGCAGGCTTCTTGGGCCTCTCCTGTTCGCGGCGGTCGACAGGCCTCTGTTCGTCCTTCTTCCTTCGACGGCGCTCCTCCCCGCTCCTCTCGTTGACCCTTTCGTGTCTCTGGCGCTCATACTTGGCCGTCGTGGGGTCGTTGACGGTGTCGTCCGAGTCGGTCAGACCTGGGTCCTGGATGGATGTTCTTCTCATCTTCTTTTCCTTGGGTCGGGGTCTGGCAACGTTGGCCGTGTGCTTTTGGGGGCTGCTGGGTGCAACCGAACGGGCGTACGTCCTCTCAGCGCCCTCGAGAGCGGAGCCGGCGTCGTCTTCAGCGTCTTGTACGTAGGCAACTTTGCCTGCCATAGCGGTGGGATCAGATGGCTGGTGAATGTGTGTTTGCTCGCAGTCGAGCGACTAGTGTGTAGAGGCAAATGAGCCTCGGAGGAGGCGTGTGCAATCGTGAGTGTGTTGCGAGTTCTTGGAGAGCAATGAGTTGGTGGGAACAGCGTGCGTGGGAGCGGGAACTTTTTTGTACAGAGGGCGAGGGAGGAGGACGGTGGGGATCCGGAAGGGGATGCGACCACTATCTGATGGAGGGAGGGCCCGTATTTGTGGGTATGAGAATCGACCGGGATGGGGTGTGAAATTGGGCGTGATGCGTTCGTTGGTGTGGTGTCGAACGGAGCACTGTATTGCTGTCGATCGTCAGAAGAGGCGATGTGGTCTGTTGAAACGCACAAAAATACGGACTGGACGCTTGGGCGGGCTGGACGAGACCAGCATCTTATTACTTTTGCTTGTTGTGCACCGTTCCGTGCCATGCTACGGCTGCTGAGTGAGCGAGAGAGAGAGACAGAGCAAGAGGAATCGCTCGGAGGGAGGAGGCGTGTGCGCAGCCGAACAATTCTTTTTGAGGGGGAGAAAAATGCAGAGGCCAATCGTGGGGTCGGTGGTGCTGGCAGGGGACGTGGAGGGGCGTGTTCGCAGCAAAAAAAGGACCTGACAGCAGATGATGTCGCTGGTTGCCCGGGGTGCTCTGCCGCCGTCCAGTGTCACTCCAATGGCCGGCCAGCGTGGTCGATAGCCCGAGGGCAGGTGTGGCTGTGGTTGCGAGCTCGTCGCCGGCTTTGAAATCGGATCCCGAGGACCGTGTTTCGTGGTGACGATGCCCGCGATGTGCAGTGTACACTACGACGAGCATTGGCAGCTGGGACGGCATTCAAGCGAGGCCCAGTTGGTCTGGAGACCAGGGCAATTCGCCGTCAACCTCCCTTGCCCCGTTGTCCCAGCCCTGGCAGAATGGGATTCTTGGGCTCATGGACAGAAATGGAACGGTCCCAGATAGCGAGCTAAGCCAATAGCCTCAGCTCCACCGCGTGGGAGCAAGGAAGCTCAGCTGGCGTGCTGGCGTCGTCGTCTGGCCTCTGCTGCTGTCTGGCTGTCGTTCTCTGACGGGACCAGGGAATCCTCGACACCGCAATTGACCGCAAAGTTGGGAAACTGGGCGGCCCCTGGCTTTGGTGCTTGTGTTGGCGCCGGTGCAAATCGCCGCCGCTTCGAGTCAGCGCCAGAACGCACTCAGGCCCAACTGTGGAGAAGCTTGTCTTTCGTTTCTTCCCGTCCGCGACCGTTGCAGTGGATTCCCTGGACGGCCTGGGTGATCGGGGGCCCTGTCAGCCAGGGTTATCTTGTGCCACCAACTGTCACTGAAATCCAAACCACAGGCGCAGACGTTTTGTGCGCGCTCGTGAGTCAATTGTGTGCTGTTATCCCGAGGTTCGAGCATCGAAATCTCCAACAGCACATCCGCCTCACAGGGGGGTGAGGACATGGAGCCTGCCTCCCTTGGGCTTCGTTTTTTTGGCTGGGAGTCTCCGCGTGCGCGGGAGATCCACCTCCAGGGCCAAACCAGACGGGGGGTGCCACTCAAGATGACGGAGCATGTGTGGTGCGTTGTGCCCTTTTCGGTTGAAATTTTCAGTCTGCGTGCTGATTTCATGCCCGACCCTGCAACAGGCTTGGCCTTTGGGTATCAACAGTCAAAGATGCTGACAGACAGGAGCCGGCATCCAATCGTTTACCGCGCCTTCACCTGTTTGAAGACATCTGGCTAAATCGGGTTTTGTCGTCAACGTTTGTGTCTCGTCGACTTGTGGGCACGAAAAAAACCTCAGCGTCAGCATAGATGAATGGTGCGCGACCCAGACTGAGCACCGGTGCGAACAAACGGTTGCCTTCAGCGCTGGCAGAGTCTGCACACGATGCAGGCTCTGGAGGCCAGCACACCAGGCCGCTCCGGAGAGCCCAATCACGACGCGACCCACCCGGCGTGGAATGCAGTCTCCTGCAAACCGGGCCCGCTGCTTCGTCTCATAGGGCGGATCCGGGTCGGCAATGGGAGTCATCGGTCCATCTCCATTCTGCAGATGGCTTCGCTCTTGCCCAGCAGGGTCTGGCTCCGCGCACCACGATGTGAGATGGCATCACACTGCTGGATGCTGCGCTGCGGCCAGGGCCAGATCCATCCTTGCGCTTTGTGTAGCCGTAATGTTTCGCCCGGGCGTGTTCGAGATTTGTTGCCCGTTGGCAGGACCGCAATGGATCGGCATCGTTGCAGTTGATGCGGTGCTTTCGGACACTGCCACGGTTGCTACTGTGCGCTTCCCATTGGCCGTCATCTCCCGGTGTGGTCTCGAACAGCCACCGGCCTCCCGTCTGATTGGCGGGGCCCGATTCGGGCTCAAGAGCACACCCCGTCTGCGAATGTCTCTTGAACGTGCCGTTGGGAGAGACACTGCGGAGATGTTCAGTCTCTGCCGTACAGGACAACCAGGCCCATGGGTGAACCGGTGGATTGAGAAGATGGCGTTGCGCTCCATTCGTGTTGCACATCACTGCGCATTTCTCCCGCATGCTCCTCAACAGTGACCCGCCTGTTTGCCCGCCTAGCGCGAGGACATGCCGGAACGGGAACGACTGAGGCCCTCCCGGAGCCTCTCATGGCTGCGTGGCTGTCGAATGCAAGTGGTCGTGTCGAGGGTGGAGCCCAGCCATCTGAGCACGAACGAGCCGGGGGAGGGAATCCGGAGACTCTACGTTCTCGGCCGTCGCTGTTGAGAACGCTGTCGATGTCAACGTCGACGTAAGCATGAGATCCCCAGATCTGATGCACGCCATGAGTGCATAGTCGGGCAATCGCAGGGCAATCGTAGACCTCAAGATGCACAGGGCTGTCCCTCGAGGAATGGACTCAATTGTCTAGATTTCGGGGCGGACGGATCGACGGCGATTGCTGGCTGTGGAGCGCAGGCGCGACACCACACCGGAACCACACCGCCTTTTCGGTCGAGGCATATTCCCTCGACGCCACTATCAAAAGCGTCCCGGCGCCACAGGTAACGTAGTCTGCCGGAACGGTCTCATTCTCGACTTGAGATGAATAGAGTCCGGCGCGGGAGCCTTCGGGAGGGCGCGTTTGTCAGCTCGCGTCTTGTGTGGCCGCTGTCTTGAAGTTTGCAGTTTTAATATTGGCTGCGTCCAACATGCTAGTCATGCAGGAGTCTCGGAGGATCGGGCAGTCTAGATCTGCTAGGTTTGTGATACCCAGATTGCGTGGCATCGCACTCAGGCCACGCCTCCCCCGGTACTGATCAAAAGCTGGCTGGCCGTAGCACGGGTATTTCCACGTCCGCGACGACAGGCCTGTGGTCGGATAAGTAGACGTCATCGTCAAACTTGTTCGACAGCACGCCAAACGTCCTCACGGTGGCCGGGCTTGGATCTTGTACAAACAAAAAGTCGATCCTCGACGGCGTCTCGTTCGGCTCTTCAAACGAGGTGTAGGTGATTTCGTTTCCGTATCGTTTCTCCTTTGGCACTCTGGCGGACACGTCAACCATGCCCGAGTCTGGTGAGACCATGGTCTTGTATGCGTTGTCTTCTGGCGTGCTGTTGAAGTCGCCTGCAAGGAGGACTGTGGTGGGTGGCTTTCCGTTGGCGCCTTTGCTCCAGTCGCGGGCAATCTTGAGGAGGAGCTTGGCGCTCTCCTCCCGCGCCTTGACGCCGATGTGGTCAAAGTGGGTGCTCATAACAACCACTCTCGCGTCGGTCTGCTTGTCGACAAACTCGCCGACGGTGACGATGCGGTTGAGGACGGCATCCCATCCTCTGGAGGGCTTGCCCGGGGTCTTGCTCAGCCATAGTGTCTCGTTGCGCTCACACTGCCAGCGATCGACTTGGTAAAAGACGGGGGAAAACTCTCCCGCTCGCTTACCATCGTCCCGGCCGACTCCAATGTGTGCCCACCCCGGGCCGAGCCATGATTGGATCTCTTGGAGCTGGGAGTAGAGCACTTCCTGGAGGCAGATGAAGGCAGACTCGTGACCAGCTGTGATGAAGTCCAGCTGGTTGATGAGCTTGGGACCGCGAAAGCTCCACGGCTTCTCCTTTGGTGTCGGACTCTTGGTGGCGTACCGGACGTTCTGGGTGACCATCCGCAGCAACATGGAGGAGGACGCCGTGGATGGAAGCTGGACGAGCATGCTGGAATGTTTTGTTGAAAGCGAATTTGACCGAGCAAACAGTGGTATTCAATGGATCTGAAGTAGTCAAAAGAACCTCTGAAATTGGAACACGGTTGAAGCTTCGGATGGCATAAAGCAGGCATCCTCCTTCCCCAGACCGTTGAGTGGGTCACGTGGCGAATCCATGAGAGCCGGGGAGGAGTGGCCCAAGCTTCACGCCCACATTCTTCATCCGTCCGGGGCACCGCGCAGCTGCTCCGTGCTCCCCCACCCGAAAGTATCGAGCTGAGCCACCTCCATTGCGAGAAATGACCCCTCACAGCCATTGCTACCTCTGGCTCTTATCCGGGCAGCCGGCTGATGATGCCTCCGCGTCCCAGTCTGCCTGCATCTGCTGTGTGCCAATGAGGCCGCAAACCCGGCTGCCCCTCATTTGTTGGTGCAGACTACGGCGGTGCCCTCTTACGTGGGACGTAAGCAGGGATATCATCTCACTTGCGACTGGTTGCTTGTCACTAAATGCAATCAGGGAACACTTGTGTCACCCGATACTAGAGCGTGTTTGCGCGGCAGGCTGATGTCGGCGCGGAGACTCCACAGACCGGTCACGTTCGATCACGGCCCGTAGCCGAAAGTCCCACCACGGGTCGTGATTCATCTTTCCATGGGATGGCAGCGGTTCGAGTCCAAGGAGACGTTCGTCCGGCCTTGTCAAATCCAAGTCATGACGCAACATGTACACAGTCGGCAAGGCACCTGACTTGACGTCGAGACAAACTTGAGCTGCTTCGTTTCGACTAGTCGTCGTCTGTGTTGCCGTCTGGGGTTTCCACAGTTCGC